CTCATACACCTCAGAACTGTACTAATTTGTACGCCTCTAGGAACTTTAGCATACCACATTGGCCCTGTCCATCTAAAATGCCTCCCTGCTACTAGTTCTCCGTCTTTATCTTTCTCCTGAGATAGAAACGATATATGACAATATATATAATTAATAATATAATTAGAAATTAACTATTATTTATTAAAAAAACTCTTTCCAATAATCCTTCTATCAATTCAAAAAACAGATGTTCTCAAAAGATTTTATTTCTTTTTGATAATAAAGTCTATATATATTTTTTAACAACACTGGTTTCTTAACTAGTAAAACAAATAGCAACTATCACTTGTTTCATTTTTTTCTTTTTAAAACACTTTTCTTATTTATTTTTGTAACTAAATACAAGAAATTTAACTAAAAGGCCTATAACAAGAACACCTTCTTAGAAAAAAAACTGATAAGAAAAAACATCTTCCAAAGGCTTCCAAGAGATTCAAGAATTCAAAGAAACAAGAATAAAAAAGTTTTTAGTTTTCTTATCATCTCTTTGACTTCATATTTCTTTTTTTTCGAATGTACTTTCTTTTTTCTCAAATATGCTTCCTTTTTTCTAATTTTTTTGGAAAATTTTGTCTACCTCAGTTTGATTCTGAATTTTTGGTTATATCAAATTTTCTGAAAGATGATTGGTTAAGGCCACGAATTAATTAATTACATCAGTCATAGAAAAAGTAAACAAGACATATAGTTCTTATGTGTTTCCAGTTGCATAATACCAAATCGATAATGTAATTGGTTCTTGAAAGAGTTAAATAATTCTTAGTTGAAAGTATAGTATAAAAGTATTAAGTGAAGCAGAAGTTATAAGTAGAAAAAAAATGACACCTTTTCTTATTTCCTTTTTTATTTATTTATTTTTTTTTTTTGAGAACAGGAAGTAGCAACAAGGTCTAAATCTTATTCCAATCTGAAAAAAGGTTAAAGTATTAATATTTATTTCAAAAACGATTAGAGAAAAAAGTTTTAAAACTATTTACTGGTTGAGTGAAGCAATAATTTCAAAAAGATATGGCTTGGAAAAGAAATCAACAATAAAAAACTAAAATCTTTTCTAATTAAAAGTTTTTAAATATAAAGTTTCAAGAAATATTCTTCTAGAAGTGTCTTAAATATTCTTAAATATCAATTACTTTAATACAAATTAAATGATCTGGCTAACTACAGATAGTAAGAAGTGAAAAATTATAAGGAACTTGGATTTTAAGTTTACTGAAATAATCTTTTCAATAATAATTAGAATATATAATAGTTTTTTTTACTTTTTTTCCAATTACTTCTTATGTATACAATTGTACTATTTTTTCTTTTTTATTTCTTTATTTTTTTTTTTTCTCTTATATAGTTTCTATAAGAGAGTGTAATACAATTTGAGTTTATGGTTATGATTATACATATGTTAATATTTAATTCAAATATTTTTCAAAAACCATATTATGTTTATATTACTAAGTAACAATTAGTAAGTAATTGGAAATTATATTTAATTCAAAATTGTATTGTCAATCAAATTTTCATTTATGATAATAAGAAAATATAGATAGTTGTAATTATATTTGTGATATAAATTATTTAATATTAACTTAATTTTCAAAGTTTTTAAAAATAATTATATTATAACTCAATTATTTATATATTTTAATAATGACTTAATTAATTGTATCAAATAATTGTATTAATTAAGTCAAGGATCTATAAATTTCAGTAACATGTATAGTTGTGATTATAAAGATAATCTGCAGGTTATAATTCTATTGAAGTATCAAGATCTTAATTTTTTCTAACAGGAAAATAATATTTTATTCCCATAAATTGTATTTAGAGGCTTTGGCTGTCAATGAGTAAGCTAAGTCAAGAAAATTTTTACTTTATAGATATTCTCATACTTGTAATGATTTAGCTCTTGATTAAATAAATAAATGACACTAGCCTAATTATGAAATTAAAAAAAAAAAATTAATTATTAATTATTATTTTTATTTTTCAAGTTTTTAAAGTTATATATATTATCTATATATTGCAATAAATTATAATTAATTTATTTTTTGCTAATATAATATTTGATTACAAAAAAAAAAATTAATAACAAAAAAAAAAAATTAATCTTATAATTTAATTTAAAATGATTAAAAGAATAAACTAGATAAAATTATTATTATTGTTGTATTTTTAAATATTTAAAGTAAATATATAAATAAAAGAAATAATTAATTTTATTACAAAAATTTTAAAATAAGATAAACTTGTTTATAAGAAATAAATTGAAATTAAATTTATATATTTTATATATTTTATGATTTTAATTAGACAAGCTTTATTAAAACATATATTTGTTTTTATATTTTGTATAGATAGCACTTAGGCTATAATAAATAAAATATTTTGAAAGTCATTAATATATTGTTTTGATCTTATAAAAAAACTTTTATTATCGTTATATTTAAATTTCGTAATATATTTTGCTGTATAATAACTCAACTGCACAATTATATACTATTGGTTAAAATTGAAACCAAACCGATTTTAAACAAGATTTCGAAATTAAAATTTAAAAAAATATTTCTGATTAACCACATAGAAAGAGCAAAGTTTTTATTAGATCCATTAATGATCCAGGTATCTGGAAATTCTTGAAATTTACTTTATTTATTAAAAGCTTTACCAATATATCTTTTTTCAGATAATAATGCTGAAGCTTTAGTACATGTGATAATTATAGATTTCGTATATAAGAGATCTTTTTATATATAAATTAGCACGTCAACAAATTTTTACAGCTTCCAGTTACGTATTGATGCACCTTTCACTTTTTGCACAAGTAACCCAAGGCCCAAATTGGCAACTTGAAAAAGTTCAGGCTTGTAGCTATAGCAACAGCAAGTCTTTGTCTCGATATCTTTCCGTTGGCGTTTGTCTGTCTGCTCGTAACGTCGGAAAACATTTGTGAGCTCCATAATCAACATGGCGGCGGAAGCAAGAAAAGCTTTGGAGGTATTTATCATTTTAAATGCCGCGACTTTGTAGCACGAAAATTGTGATCTAATAATGCTGACGAAAATGCAGGCTTTAATGGGTGCTGAAGCTTTAGGGGGGGTTCCTGATCATATGAGATACGATGATGAGAAAGTATGCCGTAATTATCTTAGTGGACTTTGTCCGCACGACCTTTTCACGTTAGTATGGTTCTGTGTTGTTCTAATGATTTTACGAAAACACAAATCAATTGATTAACAAATTTATTATGCTCATTATGTAGAAATACAGTTAAGAATTATGATTTATTTAAAATAATTAACTTTTGGAAAGTTCCAGAGATGAAAACTTAATTGTATGTGATCGATATTTGTTCATAGAAAATGGATCTCGGATCATGTCCCAAAATTCATTCGGAACGACTGAAATCAGAATATGAAGAAGCAAAAAAAAGGAAAGAAAATGACTTTGACGCCGAGTTTGAGCGTAACCTAGCGAATTTTGTGTCAGATTGTGATCGTAAGATTGCGAGTGCGCAAAAACGATTGGACAAAACACCAGAGGATAGCGCAAAGGCCACACAATTGGTTGGTATATGAAATTTGAACTGATAAAATAAACCTAATTTTTTAATTTATGTGTTCACATTTGTATGCATCATGATATGTTTCAGTTAAAAGAAATCGAGAATTTGGTAGTAGAGATATCTGAATTAACTAAAGAAGTGGAGGTTCTTGGTATTGTCGCATGATCCTAAATTACAGTCATATTTGATGAATGAATTGTGTGCGACGATTGATGGTTTGTCATTTAGGAGAGCAAGGCAAGGTCACCGAATCGATCAAGCTACTTCAAGATGTTGAAGCGAAGAAAGCGGCCAAGATTGAAAAAGAGGTCAACCAACGATTATCCTTAGTTCCACAAAATTAGATTGTATTGCTTTCTCGTCTAAATCATATCTATTTTACGAAATTGATATAGAAAGAGCTGAAAAATTCATCCGAAAGTGGTGGTGGCCCTTCTCAACAACAAAAGTTGCGCGTTTGCGAAGTGTGTAGCGCCTATTTGTCGATATTTGATTCAGATCGACGGTAATTTTATGCTATTGACCTGGCTGTGCGTGATTTGTGATTGCTTTGACTATAACCGAACAAACATCGAATCCTTTCTTTCAACAGCCTGGCCGATCACTTTGGTGGAAAGGTGCTTATAATCGAGTGTTCTTAGTTCACACATTGTTCACGTACAACCATTAATTCTATCCTCGCACTTAGATGCACCTAGGTTACTTGAAAATCAGGGATCTATTGAAAGAGCTCAAAGGAAAAAATAAGGATCGCGGTATTGATTCGAGGGAAGTGCGAAGTTATCATGACCGCGATAGAGAACGAAGTTATGACCGAGATAGACATCGAGATCATCGTAGCGGGAGATTTGATCAGTATGTTTTCGACTCGATTTTCAACTATTTGTTCGTACGCGTATTTACAAGCGTTTTATTTTTTGTTCAGTGATCGTCGATCTTCGTACGACAGGCGCTCGAGGACAAGATCACCCGAGAGACGCAGCGGCTACGGAAGAAGACGTTCACGAAGTCCTCGAAGAAGGCACTGAAATTTTATTAGAGTCACACAGACATTTAAATATCATTTGCTTTGAAAATTGTCATTATTTCACGCAATTTTATGTATTCATGGATTTTCGAAGTTTAGGATAGGTTTGACATTTGGACCATTTGTTGATATTTTATTTTTTATTGTTATATAATTTTTGAGACATAGTTAGTGATTATTTATTAGTGAATGAAATAAACAAATTTAATGTTTCTTAAAGAAACATAGGTTCTTGGTCTATTCATTTTAAGTTTAACGAAAAAAAAACTGATTTTTTCTATGTGGAAAAGTCAAATATATTTATAATTGTTGATTTAAATAGGTTTACTACTTCTCTTAGTATAATTCAATTCACTACATATCGAAACATCTTTATTTTGGAGGCAAGAGATAAGCAACAATAAAACTCTCATAAATTGCTCTCGATTCAAAAATCATTGTAATGTAGAAATATTACAAAAAAGAAAAATTAACAAAAAAAAATACATTTTTAACCTCTAATATAAATTGCCTTTTCGGCACCGCCAACCCTCCCAGCACGTCCGGTTTTGTCTACACGATCTAGTCCTAAACAATCTTCATTGTTCCAACTAATGTCTGATAAAATTACTTCTATATCGAAGAGAATAAAAGTAGAGGTTATAACAAGTGGGTTAAATCGAAAGTAGGTTGAATAATTGAGACACCACATACCGTCCTCAACATATTGGGGTTTAGAATATGTAGTTCCTGGAACAATCGCGATTTTTACTTTAGCAAAATCTTTTTCGTTCATACCAAGGCGTTCCTGAAGTCGCACCTTGGCCTCAGAAAAGCCTTCTCCCTATGATTGTGTAATGAAAAAGAAAAATTTCCGTTAGTTACATAAAATTCATTATTAAATATATATATATATAATAATAACAATAATTGGAGAGCAAAACACACATTTTTAATGACAAACTTGAAGGGGATTCCGTGCAATCGTACTGGTTCTTTAGTGAAATGAAATACTTGAACAATCTTATCATTAGCGTTTGATTCAAGCTCTTCTTTAGGTATTTCCTACGTTGAAAACAGGATTATTAAACGAAGGACAAAGATTTTTAAAAAATTCACCATGCCGTAGATGATTTCACACACCTCTGCATATAGTGTCGAGAATTCCGATATTCTTTCTACTGATTCAGTTCCAGTATATTCCTTGCTAATTTTATGATTCACAACCTCATATAGTCTGATTTTGCTGTTTGGGGTCGACAGCGATACCTTCTGTAAGATCGCTTCCAGGATGTCGTCAACGACAGAAGTTTTAGGAAGGCGAACATCGACAATTTCCTTTTAAAATAAACATTATTTCCATTAGGAATGTGAGTTTGAACGTTTAGAATCGCTTCAAATCAATTGGTTGCGCCTTTACCTCGTCTTTTACAGTAGTTCCGAGCCAATTAACTTTAAAGAATCTTTTTGTTTCCAACTCTACAATACTAATGTCAAGCATTTCATAATATAGTTGTGCGGAAGGGAGATATGACGCTTGAAGCATATCTGACAGTGTTTGAGTGGTATTTCGTTTAATCACATTTTTTGGCGTGCCAGATGGTAAATTCGCGGTTGTAAAAAGTAATTTCATCGGGTCAGCATTTAAGTGTGCGGCAACTTGATTAGCGACCTGAATATTAACATATAATTATTATCGATTTTCATGTTCGATAGTCATTGAATAGATTCCTACGTACAGCATCATAGCCCATTTTCCTATTTAAGACCAATTCAAACTCGGGTTTTGGTTCAGGATCCTTTTGCTTTTGTTCGCGATCCTTTGGTTTTGGATTAGGCTTGAATTGGACCACAATACGCATTGACAGATGATCGTAAAATTGAGGAATACCGTAGATACGACCGGCAGCCTGATGATCTTGAATCCTGTATAGTAGTATTAAATGAATACCAAATTTGTTGATCAATCAAATCAAATATTTATAACGTACTCCTTGTCGGTTAATGCTTTCTGGAAACAAATTATGTCTCCGTCTTGTATCTCGGATTGATGAAGAGTTGATTTGGGTTTCATTTCTTCAATCATGCCAGGTTTAATTTCCTATGGTATTTATAAAGAAATTTGGTCTCAGGATAACAACATTGATAAGTCTGGAATTTAACCAACAGACTTACCTCATATATTTTTAAGGGCGTGTTCGGTGGTAGATCCCTTTTTTCACAGAGAAGTGGAATGATCTCCCCGACTTTTGTAAATTTGTGAATATAGAGAAAGTGAAGACCCCTATTAAAAACGCAATACCGCTCAAATAAATGTTCGTAAATAATTAAATACTCGTATGTAGGATATAATATTAGGCATACTCTAATGATTGCGTATCAGGGTCGAAGTATTTGAGAAAAACCATTATGTGGGTGTTTCCTTCGTTGGGATGGAACCAAGTCTAAATAAAGAAAAACGAATAAAGAAAAAAAAAGATCATTAGGGTGACCGATCGACATATTTGAACATGCCCATGAAGCATAAACAACCTTGGTAGTACTTGGCTTGTCTGAAACTTCCAAGTATAATTTTAGTTCGTTTTGCCGTGCCGCCATTTTTGAGTGAATTTCTTCCATCGCTAATAGACATACACAGATGAGTATTTGATATTAATCAATCATATCAGGAAAATTTCGGTGAAATAAAGAATACACGAATAGTTACTTGAATTAACACAGTTTTCTGATATTGGGGCATCCGGTCGAACGGTTTTATTTTGCCGATTTACAAGAACCCAGAATCGTGTTTGCTCAACCGGAAGTTCGAACTTTTTGGCAACCATTTCTTTGAATGTACCGTATGTATCACTCTTAAGTACTTTAAAATGCGGGACATCTGATAGCGGATATTGACGATCATCAAAGTTGGCAAGGTCAAATCCCTGATGATTCCTAAAGGTTTCTGCGGTTACAACCTAACAGAATATGAGATAACTTTTAACTCATTGGGAGTCAGTTCATCTCATTTACAAATACACTTTTTATGAAAATACCTTGACTGGTAAATAGAGGTGTCGTTCTTCTGCTTCTTTCTTTTTTTGTTCGTATGCTGCTCTTTCTTCGTCAAGGCGTCTTTCTATTGGATGAGATCTTATTTAATAACAATAATTATCGAAAAGTTTTCATCATAAGACAAACCCTACGTAAATGTTCCGGTATCTCTTCCGGAAGCACCGGAGATAAGATCTCATCAGCGTCAGATTCACGAATGTATACCAACATATATGCATTTGTGAATCGTTTATGGTTTCTCCCACCAGGTCGGATGGCGGGCAGGGGACTGGAATTAGGAATTTCACCACCGTAATTAGCCTCTAGTACCTCCTTGTCTGTTACTGGTGTAACCCGGTCGTCATCGAATTTTAACCTGTTTGAAATAAGAAAGTTTCTTAGCAGAGAGATATCTCAATGAGTGAGGAAATGAAAGACGAACCATTTTCCATCTTTTTCCGGTTTTATTAATGCAAAATAATGGCCGCCATACAAATCTCCGCTATGAACAAGCACTCTGTCATGAGATGAAAATGAGAATTGTTATAAAAAGCAAAACATGCCCAAGCAGAAATATTAATAATTAGGGCTTACGAACCCATGAAGTAAATATCGAGGTGGCTTCGATCGGTCTGCTTCTGGTGACAAAAATTCTTCCAAATCAATTTCCATGGGAAACTCGTGACGATCGTTAATCTATAACATCCAAATTTCATCGTATGTAACATATCATTTTCAACCATCCCACAAAATGATTTTCAAATAACTATTATTCATACTTTAATCATAGCGTCCCTTTGTACGTCATATTCAAATCGTTTTAGTTGCAAGTGCAGAACCGGTGGAAAGCTTTCAAATATCACTCCTTTCTTGGCATCCTATAAACCGTGAAGAAAAATCAATATCTTGTATTATAACATTATGACGTTCTCGACATCCACGATTTAGATTTACCTGAAGACCATACTCTTCCGCCATATATTTATTATCTCCTTCCAAAGTCTCCTCCTGTACATAATCTTTGAAAGAATCATGTAGAGTCTTACACCCTTTCACATTCAGTTGAATGTCTGTCCAGAAAATTTTTTTTTTCAGAATTCGAATGCATATTAACAAAACATTTAAAAAAGCGAACGAGTCACATCGTTGATATATGTGTTCATGCTACCATAATAATCTTCAACACGAGAGGATTCATAATCCACGTTGACACATTTAATATAACTCTTCATTTTTCCAACAAAAAGTTTTGTCATGGCTCCATCCGCTTTTGTATCCTTATCCGGGTGAAGAGGTCAGAGTATAAGTAATAGGTGGTGTGAATAAATAAAATGATAGAAATTTCAGAATTATGTGGAAGGTTCTTTCTTTTTCGATAGACCGATACTACCTTCATTTTGCCCTCTAGTTTATCTTGTAGTACTCGATTGAACTCTTGAACATCGTGTTGTTGGAATGATTCATCTGAATCCCATCCAAAAGCTTTTGTCAGCTCCGTTGTTCCGACGGGAGTGTTTGATGTCTGTAATTGATAAAATACTCTCTGTAGAGCCAAAGAGGCACTTCTGATCGGTTCATCTTCTTCTGTGGGAATTGCGTAAACCGCCTGTATCAGAGGTGGAGGAAAGAATCAGATTCGAAAAATCCATGATAAATCTTGACGACCGGTCAGATACCTTGAAACACAAACCTTGCGGAAATAAGTTGTACAATAAAGTGATTGCAACAAGGAGTTCATGTAACATGTGGCTCCTTGATTCTTCAGACCCACATACCCAGTTTCTTTCTTTGAATCATAACTATATGAAGAGGTTAAACACAACGCCAGAAATATTGAAGGCCATAGCAATAGAGAATATTTGTGGATTAAGGTTCGAAAGATAGAAAGAAAGGAGGTAAAATACTTGATGAAATTGTGCCATAGGACACCCGTAGGATCCTTCAGTACTCGCACGAAAGCAGTGATGTTGGTCGTGTCATTCTCGATTAGAGGGCGTGGTCGATTTTCCGACGGAGTAAATAGTTTTCGCAAATCATAAAACCGTGTAAAACCCCAATCCGATTCTTCGGCAGTGAATCGATGATGCGCATCTAGTGGTAAAAGCACATTAGATTTGGAGACATGAGAGAAGGCTAAATGAAAGTTAACCTACGTACGATGATGAACATAATGCGTTGGATCCTCCGGATTCCATAAGACTAAAGCGAACTGTACACACGAATGCCAACCCGCGGGAGCTCCTTTGGGGTCGGCAAAATCCAAGTAGATGGAAACGGCCTCCACGTTATTATTTCCAAAAGGGAACAGCAAGATTCGCCTGTCGAAATTTCGTCAAAATTATAACTCTTAGCCATGGTTCTTTGAACATAAAAAAAAAGGTGTTTTAGATGACCCACCATTTCCACCCGCCGGCATCAAATTCTGGACCTGTCATCCTTTTCTCCAAATTCCGCCAACCGTTGATTTGCCACGTAGAATATTGAAAGTCTTCAATTTCGTATGAAAGATCGGGCATGATCTTATTCGCTATGGCTTCATCTGTATGTGTGAATATAAATTTGGTCAAAACCTAAGTTTCCATCGATCCAACCACCGGATGGATGGCGGTAAGAGATATAAACATTCTTCTTGATTGCCACATATACTTATAAACATATAAATATATCTGAAATAATTCATGATCATTCTTTCGAACGATTTGTTAGCAATCTAAACAAATTTATATTCATAAACAGATCTTCGAGACATACAATCAGTCACTGCCAAAGGGGTTGTTTCCTCTACATCCGACATGGGCCTCTCGGTATCGGCAGGCGTTGATTCAACAGACACGTCCATATGATCATCCTGTAGTTTAAACAAATTCATAATAAAATTTATTAGATCTTGAATTTTCCTTTGTGACACCCGCTAACATAAAGGTCAAGACGCGAGCTAGATTAAGCTATCCCATAAAATAAGGAATAAGCGTCTCTGTTTACGGGAGAAAGAAAAATGAAAAAAGCTGTCTACGCTAAGGTAACACCCGGTGAAACAGAAATTGGCTCCGATTAGTAAAATGAAATACCATGCTGAAGTCTGCGGGTATTATTCGCGTAAGGTATGATAAGGCAACGAGAAAGCAGACGAGCAGGAGGGGTTGTAAAATACTCTCGGGGATTATGAAGTCAATGTTGATCGATTTGTGTTTGGGAAAGTGAAGATAAAGAGTACTGGATTCTTAAAGATTGAAATGCAAAAATCGGCAAGGTTTACGGCACCATGGAACGATGAGATTCGTTTAAAAGTTAACGCAAGTAATCTTGTGCTGTAGTACTAAACGTAAAAGAGATGATATTTTTTTTTTATATTGTAGATGATAATATGACGTAAACGTGCCACGCACTCTGTCCAATCTACGAACTAGGGCATTTAAATCGAAAATCTTTCACAGAACGCATTTGGTCCACATTAATTAAACCACATGATCCAATTACATACGTAACGTCCGTTACGTAAGTAACTGACTTGTAAAATCAAGTTTAAATAAAATATATTCAGAATTTATAATTTGTTTATTTTTGTCCAGTAGAAAAGAAACTACTAACGAGTGCTATAAACACAATTTTATGAAATAAAACGATATAAAATCCAATACCATTTATAATGTAACGATAGTTTATAACGATGAATCACACCTCTGAGTTGTGCATACAAAATTCGAAACAAAAAACGCGTCGTTAATATGGTCAATGTCACTAGAACAATGCCAAAAAGAGATGTGCATTTGTCACGTCGTCACGAATGGCGTACACATAATCCGACAAGACTTCTCGAGACAAGCAATATTCAACCAAGATGTTGCTGTAACTGATAATCCGCCATCGCCTAAAAAATAGAGATCAAACGGGTAAATGCTAATGTCACGAGTCAGTAATTTAAAATTAGATCATGGTAGATATTATACCACAGAATTCATATTTATCTGATGTTCCGAAGAATCTGGATGCGCGACATTGATCCTGAAGGATTTTTCTAATTTATAAACAGTATCTCCGTGATAGTAATTGGCAATTGCTGTAATTTCACAACCTTCAGCGTCCATTCCCGGTGTACCCGTGAGAACATTATTTTCCCAGCGTAGCCAATCCGGAAGCCAGGGCGAATGGAAAACTGCTTTGATGGCTATTTAGTGGGAGAGAGCGAGTACCATTAAGATGACTGATAACAGAACCGCATAATGAAATGCGAATACGTACACTTAACATTCACTTGCGGATCCCAAACGCGGGGAGCATATCTATACTCTAATCCGATATATGCAACCTTGTCGGGAATTCCGGCAATCTTACGATTAAATTCTCGAAATATCCATCCGCCATCTGGTGTTTTTTTAGCTTCTATATTCCACACGTGATTACCCTTGGATTTAGCTTTCTTACCATCCTCATTAAATCGGGAGATATACCTAAATTTTATGCATGCTTGTAAGATGTTATTCAATAAAACGCGTTTTTTCTGCTAGAAAAAACACATACCTTTGTGTCCACAAATAATTCTTAACTTTCCTCAACGGTAATATCTCTTCATTATACCCATGACGAATCAACTCTTCATGAAAAGCATTTGTGAAAGCCTGAATTCGAAATTTGAAAGGTCGAAAATCTGGAGATTCATCTAGTTTTTGCATTTTCTTAGCCATCAATGTTTGATGACTGTGTTTTTCGAAAGGTACAACAATTATAAATAGTTCATGCCAACTTCACGCGAACGAACTCTAACGCACCAGGACTTACATTTGTTCGCCTTTGGAATCCGTGGCATCCACTATAATTATAATACGTTATATTCAAATCATATTAACAACAAGAGAAATTCATATAAGATCATAAGGTTTACATTTTAATTAGAAAGACACACTCACAATCTGAACATATTGTTTGCAGAAAGCTAATAAATATATCGTCAAGGTGTTTCAATAGCCCCGGATCTAATGGTGCGTGCGTATGCGTACGAGGTGTGCTTGGAAGCGCTGCTCCTGGAGGCGCATAAATTTGTGGCGGTGGCTTAAATTTTAACATAAACAATTAGCAAGGACATTACTGTTTGATTGAAGTGAAAAATTCTTTGTGGATGTAAAATACTTGTGTAGTATAAGGATCATTGGGAAGCTCGCGGACATTGAGGGCGTATACTTCACTCGTGATCGTTGGTGTGTCTTCCACACTTGTTTTCAGTGACTTCCTTGGCTTCTCATATTTTTGTGCAACTGTCCTCTAAAAAATATAGCAGATGTGATTATGCGATCGATGCCACAGGTACTTTCCATCCGAACAACATTAATAAACATCCAAACCTTGACCAGCTTGGTTGAAGGCGCCATTGGCGTCACCGAGGACACCGACGTCGAAGATGACTGTTTTTTAATGGAATCAAGCGTAGTAATTGTTGAGGTGAGTTTTATACGAAGGATCCGATAATTGAAATACTTGGTAAATTATTTGGGATTCCCAAGTGATAATATCACGTGATGAAACCAAAAAATCATTTGAGATGTATATCTACCCTTATGTTCTAATAGCAAAGATAATTAGTTCATATTTAATATTTGAACTAATAAAGAAGAAAACGATGACGTAACTCACCAGCTCTGCATACTTTGATTTAAAATCTTTCAGGAGATTTATGGCTTTCGTTATATCTTCAAGTCTATTAAATGCTTCACCTTCAAATCCACGTTCAAATTGTTCTTTTGCTTCTTGGGCATTTAAGACAATGCTAAAAGTAAATACACAGGCATAATAAGCTTAAGTGTTGACAAAGTTCATTATTTCGGTGGTTTGGGATTGCAATGCGATCCCGCGGTTGAAAATTAACAACACGAAACAAGTTGCTAAACAAACTGTTCACAACTCTGTGTATAAGTTACAAGTACCCTTCTTTCTCAAGATATCGTACCTATCAAAAAGTTGGGTCAAATTCATTTTCTATATTTTAGTAGTGGGGTGACTTCTTTGGGGGGAGGGACGCTTTTAAAAAAGAAGGCCTCTCGAAAGAGGGGTTTGAGAAAAAAATTTTATTATTACATTTTCATTTTGGAACCAAATTTATCTAGGAATACAACTTCCGATCCAACCAATGGCATACACTTTTACTAAGGTGATGATGATCTTCAATATAGTAAATCAGGTCCCATGTAACAATCCGATATACTGTACATAAAAAAGGTAATGGCGTGAATAAAAAAGAAATGTATTTTTTAACAATTATTTAAAAATTGTTTTTTTTGAATAATATAAACTATCAAAATTAGAAGTTTATCGAATCAAGTAAAATATACACACCCCTACCATAATTTACCAAAAAATTTGATTTTCACGAAAAAAATTTTTTTTTTTTCACGTTGCACAAGTACGTGTCACTGTTTTTTTTTTTTTATAAGTATCCAATTTTTTTATGTTTGCCAAATTAGGTCCTGATCACTCTTTTTCAAAATAAACATGCGAGGAAAAGCGTTGTCAGTTGCACAGCACGAACATATCATTGGAGCTCACCTAAATGGCATCAAACTCAGAATTATTTTGTCTGAGTTGAACATTCCCATTACAATCGTCTATGACACTATCAAGCATTATGATGAAAAAGATACCGCGCAGTCAAAAAAATGGTTGGGACGACCAAAAAAAATTTCTGAATGCAAAGAACGTATTTTAAAATGGGTTGTTTATGAAGATCATTTTGCTCCTCTTGGTGACATTATGAGTAGACTAAATACAAGATTAAATACCACTTTTCATATCAACACAGTTCGTAGATACATTTATGATATAGGTCTTAAAAGCTCGATACCATGTAGGAAGCCCTGTCTAATGAAAAAACAGCGAATTGCATGATTAAAGTGGTGTAGAGAAAAAAAAAACTGGAATGAAGAGTGGAAAAATATCATATGGTCTGATGAGTCTAGATTTGCACTTTTCAATTCAGATAGTCAAGTTAGAATATGGCAGGAGACCAGCGAAGCATATAATGAAGACTGTATCATACTTACAACTAAATTTGGTAGGGGATCTGTAATGTTTTGAGGCTGCTTTGGTTGGAACGGAATTGGCCCCTTAGTGGAAGTAACAGAAAACATGAATTCTAAAGTGTATGTTAATATTCTTGCCACTTATCTTATACCTTGGGCTCGCGGGAACCTAAATGTCATATTTCAACAATATGGCACGACGTGCCACATATCTTCATATACAACTTGGTAGGCAGCGACCCACGATCTTCGAATTCTGGATTGGGTGGCACAAAGCCCGGACCTCAACCCAATCAAAAATTTATGGGATCATTTGGACTGTCAAATACGCAAGAGAAACCCCCTATCTAAGTCTAAATTAGAGTTGGTGGAAGTAGCGCAAAATGAATGAACAAATATTAGCTTAGATATGATTTGTCAATTAATTTTGAGCTTGCCTAATCGTATGAAGGAAATTATAAAGGCCAAAGGCAAACACATGAAATATTAAATTAGAATTCTAAAATTTTAGAATTTAAGTTTTATTTAAAAAAAAATTTTTTTTACATGTCATTATAAAAATGTCAAAAAAATAAAAAAAAAATTATGTAATAATTTTTTTCAGTAAATTATGGTAAGGGTGTGTATATATATCTGACTATGGGATCATATCATTAGGACTAGTATTGTGTTATTCCCATGTGGTTGATCAGGTTGATCAGGAGGATCCGGGTTATCAGAGCAATCTAAATCTCATAGCATGTGATCCAAGATTGTTACATTCTCTCCTTCTTAGAATTCAATGCTCTTATCAATTCAAATTCTTAAAGTTTTTCTTGAGCATTGGTCAGATTTTCAAGTGGTTTCCATGTGGCGTCATGTAAGGAATATCCAGTCCATTTGATAAGATATTGTGGCTTGTATTGTATGATTCGTTTGTCTAAGATGACTTCAACTTCATATTCCTCTTGTTTGGTTTCTAGAATAATAATGGCTGGTGATGGTATTGCTTGTCTAAATTCTTGTGGTGAGGGCTTATAAGGCTTGAGTAGTAACATATGAAATACTGGATATATCTTTAGTGTGGCTGGTAAGTTCAACTTGTATACTGTTTTAGAGATAACCTTGACAATGGTGTATGGTTTTGCGAATCTTGACATAAGCTTCTTGGTTTGTCGATTTCTATCAATAGAATTGTTGATGTGGCGCATTGAAAGTAATACTTGATCTCTTTCTTTGAATGTGAGGTGATATCAGTATTGGTTGACATATTTTGTTTGTCGATCTTGAGCTTCCATCAAGATGTCTTTGGCGATTTTGATTATTATATTTCAATGTTGCATAAATTCATTGGCAACAGGTACTTGACAATCTTTTGGATAGTTCAAGAATAAAGATGTGTTAGAGTGTTGTCCACAATTTAGCTCAAAAGATGAGAATCCAGTGGAGGCTTGTTTGGAGTTGTTGTAGACAAACTCAGCAGCTGGCAGGTATTCATCCCATTGGTCTTGTTTATAAGTAAAATAAATACATAACATTTCCTTCAAGGTTCTGTTAAGTTATTTAATTTGTTCATCAGTTTGTGGATGGAAGGCGGTGAACATTACTGTTTTTGTATCAAGTTGTTGAAATAAGGCTTGCCAGAAGTGATTAGTAAATCTGGTGTCATGGTCAGAGATAATGACTTTTGGTAATCCATGGTACTTGAAAATTTTCTTGAAAAATATTTTGGCTACTTCTGGTGCTGTGGCACTGGTATGTATTGGACAAAAGTGTGCTCATTTAGTCAAGCAATTTACAAAAACCACAATAGCATCGTATCCATTTCTTGTTATTGGTAGTTGTACAATAAAGTCCATGGTAACTTTTTTCTATCTTCATGTCAGCATCAATAATGGTTGCAGAAGGTCAGTAGATTGTTGATTGCTTGCTTTGTTTCACTGACAAGATCACAAGATAAGATATATTTTTGCACATCTTTTCTTATTTTTGGCCAGTAATAGTGTCACATAATTGCATCCAAGGTTTATTAATTCCAAGATGACTAGCAATATCAATATCATAGTGTTTCTTCATGATGTAGCTTCGCAATCCATACCCTTTTGGAATTGCTGATCAATAGTCTTTCTTTAAGTAGATGTAATTCAAAATGTTTGGCACGTGCTAACTCTTTTTCTGTTATGTTGGTTGGATTCCTTAAGGTGGTAAGGATAGAGGAAAAGTAATCATCATTGATATATTCTTCTTCAAAAGTTTGTTTATTTGCTAATTGCGTGACAAGAGCACTGATAGCATGGAAATGAGGTTGTTTTGAAAGGGCGTTAGCAACAACATTAGTCTTTCCAGGTTGGTATTTGACTTCAAAATCATTGGCTTGTAAGGTTTCTAACTATTTGGCCTGACGTCTTGAAAGATTTGCTTGTGTCTTAATATATTCCAAGGAGGTATAATCAGTAATTACTGTACTGTAAAACATTGGCCTTCCAGATAAATTTTTCATAATTTGATGACATGTACTATAGCAAGAAGTTCTTTTTCATGGACAGGATAATTTTGTTCTGCTGGGGATAATTTTCTTGACTCATATGCTACTGGCTGTTTACCTTTACCATAATCTTGAGTTAGGATGGCTCCAATAGCAAAATTAGAGGTGTCAGTAGTAACAGTAAATAGTTTGGTAGGATCCGAGAGGAGTAATACAGGTGCAGTAGTCAAAGCTTTCTTGAGTTGATCAAAGGCTTCTTGTTCAGATACATTCCAGGAAAATTCCTTATCTTTATGTAGAAGAGCAGTAAGAAGTGTTGCAATGGTAGAAAATCCTTGTACAATTTTCTGTAATAGCTTGCCAATCCTAGAAAAGATCTTACTTCTGCTATGTTATTAGGTTTTGGCCATTGTTGGATGGTGGTTATCTTTCGTGAATCTACACTAATTCATTCAGCAAATATGTAATATTTAATATATTTAACCTTGGTTTGGATTAGTTCACATTTTTTTGCCTTGGCATAGAGTTGATGTTTCCTTAGTGTTGTCAAAATAGTGCATAGATGTTTCAAATGTTCTTCTTTGGTCTTGATATAGATGAGGATGTAGTCAAGATAGACAATCACAAAATCATCAAGGTGTTTTTGAAAAATATTGTTCATTAAGGTCATAAATGTTGCAGGGCATTAGTGAGTCCAAAGGATAATACCAAGAATTCATAATATCCATAACAAATTCTAAAGGCAGTTTTGTAAATATCTTTCTCCTTGATTCAGATTTGATGATATTCTAAGTAAAGATCAATTTTGTTGAAATATTTGGCTCCAGCCAATCGATCCATTAATTCCTTGATTTTGGGTAGAGGGTATCAATTTTTAATAGTGATCTTGTTTAAAGCACGGTAGTCTACACAAAGTCTAATGTTCCTTCCTTTTTGTGTACAAATAGAACAGGAGTATCAAAGGGAGACATGCTTGGACAGATAAATCCTTTTTCAGTTAGGTCAGCAAGTTGTTTCTTTCACTCATCCATCTTTAAATAAGATAAGCAATAGGTAGGTAAGGAGGAAGACTCAGCATCTGGAATTAGTTCAATAGCATGGTCGATACTTCTTTTTGGTGGCAGTTGTTTTGGCAAGTCTTTTGGAAACATGTCTTGAAATTCTTGAATAATTGCTTGTTCTTTTGTTAATACACTAAAGTTTTTGGACTTGAAGTCTTTTTGAATAATACAGATGGCAAATAATTCTTCAGTTGATAGTATTCTAGCTAGTTGGTGTTTTGAGATAATTATGGAATGGCATTCGGAATTCTGATTGGTTCTATTGAAACTTGCTTTGACTTTGATATTGTGCCTTTCCATACTGAAAAGATAAAGTTTTGGTTCTTCAATCAATGTTGGGGTTTGCATGATATAATCAAGGTTTTCCAAGTAAGGCATCATATCTTTGTAAGTTGAGAACTTGTGCAGTAATTCTGGTGGTTCAATAGATAT